TACCACTTAGGAGAGCCACTTCCCACGGGAACTGGCAGGACCAGGCATGCACCCAGCCCTGGGAGCCCCTCTCCTGCCCCAGCCCCATCCCTTCCTCACCTCGTAGGGCTGAGCCTCCAGGTCAACCAGGTATTCATCCACATCCAGCATCGTCTTGTAATAGTTCAGGTACCTCAAGGTCATCTCATGCTTGGGGTTCTTCTGCAGGAAGGTATGGGCAGCAGACACTGCTTTCTCGATCTTATTTGACTGGGGAGGGAGGGAGAGGTGATGCAGAGACCTGCTGTGGGCCAAGCACCCAGCCAGACCCCTGTGCTGCAGGGCAGAGAGCTGCTCCTTAGGGGAACAGCCCCATACCCACAGTGCCTGCCCCGAGCCCGATCCTCCCCTGGCAGCGATGGACTGACAGGATCCAGGAACATGGACACTGCAGGTAACTCCAGACACATCAACCTCCTTGCTGTGCCCGTGGTGGGTACGGGGACAGCTCGGCCACTCATGGAACCCCAGATCCAGACAGGAGTGATCCACGTGGTGTGGGTTTGATTCACGCATCAGCTCTTCTCCAGCACTGCCACCAGCCCGGGCCAGTCCCCCCTACTGCTTTATGAGCTCTTGGGTTGCAGCTTCAGGGGAGTGAGATGGGGGGGTTGAATGATCTGTCCATGAAATGGGTTTGGGCCAGAGCAGCAGGAGGGAAAGTCATTAAGGATCAGGCCAGGCTGTCCCTCACTGCTGCCAGGTGAGAAGGGCTGCAGCGCTGAGTGCTAAAGCAGCACCCACAGTGGCAGGAGGCCAGGGGTACTGCCTGGGACCCTGACCAGGGGATTGTCCCCTGCCAGAGCCACTCTGGCAAACACAGGGTCACCCCAGGACAATGCCTTATGAAACCTCCCTCCACCTCTGCACCACGAGGCTGAGCAAGTCCTTCTCCCTGACAGAGTATCCAGATGTGTCCCACCGCAATCACGGTGGCATTGGACCTGCCACTTCGGGCCCCTCAGCTAGGGCAGCCCCTGTGCCCCCTGCCCAGGTAATGCTCTGCCTGGCCAGGAGGCCCTTGGAGGACCAGAGCAGCACAAGATGGGGTGGAGGGACACAAGCAGAGGGG